ACACCCCTACTTCTTCATTTCCTAGCCATGTCCCCTGCTCATCTATAGCACTTATCACATCTGTCATACTATAAATTACATATTATATATTTACCAGTTTGTTTGTTATGTCTCCCTGCACTAAAATGTAAACTTTACTCGGAAAAGAACATAGATTTTTATTGTGGAATCCCAGTGGCTAGAAATAGTGCTTGCCACATAGTAGATCTTCAATAAATATTTGTTGAATGAATGAATCATGAGTGAATAGACCTACTGTGGTAGGCAGAATAATGGTAAGCAGANTTGAATGAATGAATCATGAGTGAATAGACCTACTGTGGTAGGCAGAATAATGGTAAGCAGACTTCTCTATGCTAATCCCCAGCACCTGTGAATAATACCATGCATGGCAAAAGGGACCTTGCAAAATGCTTAATTTAGGGGTCTTGAGACTCTGGAAGTTATCCTAGATTATTCAGGTGCAACAAGTGTAATCACAGGCATTCTTATAAAGTAAAAGAGGGAGGCAGGAAAGTCAGTGTTAGAGATTTAAAAATGCTCTGTTGCTGGATTTGAAGATGGAGTAAGGGGACACAAGCCAAGGAATGCAGGCATACTTGAGAAGCTGGAAAAGGCAAGGAAACAGATCCTCCTCTAGCACCTAGAGAATGAACACAGCTCTTGTGACACCTAGATTTTATCACNATCACAGGCATTCTTATAAAGTAAAAGAGGGAGGCAGGAAAGTCAGTGTTAGAGATTTAAAAATGCTCTGTTGCTGGATTTGAAGATGGAGTAAGGGGACACAAGCCAAGGAATGCAGGCATACTTGAGAAGCTGGAAAAGGCAAGGAAGCAGATCCTCCTCTAGCACCTAGAGAATGAACACAGCTCTTGTGACACCTAGATTTTATCACTGTCAGATCCATTTGGGATTTCTGATCTCCAGAACTGTATGATAATGAGTTTGTATTGTTTTGAACCACTAGATTTGTGGTAATTTGTTCCAATAGTAATAGGAAACTGATAACATCCACCTGCTCCTATTAGACTGTAACCTTCTATAGAACAGGGGCCAGGTCTTCCTTGACCCTGCACATCACAGGTGCTCATTGTTCCTGGAGCACAGCACTTTGGCTTTTTAAACAGAGTACCTGACAGAGCATTATCGTTCTTTGTGCTTACCATAAAGCCTAATGAATGATGATATCACTGAATGCGGGTCATCTTTCCCAGAATACCCCAAAAGTGGGAATACTGCTGAGAAATACTTCCCCTCTCCTTGAACAGTGAACTTCTTTTCCATCATTGGGAGAGGCATTAATTTAACCCCACCCACTCCAACAACATGCGGACCTTTGAGTGTAGTTCTGTGGGTTCAAAAGCTAAACACAAAATGTCTCAGGGATTCCAGAACTAAAGGCATGAACAAATCTAAAATACAAGAAGCTAGGAAAGAGTCTAGAAGAGCTTCAGCATTGAAGGAGTTCAGACTGGATGTTACCAAGCCAGAAGTCTGGGGACAGGGAGATGAGAGCAAACAAACCAGGAACAAACAGGGACAAAGGGATTATAGAGTCTGGAATTGTCACAGCTGCTTTTTTAGGCCAACCAAGGCCTGGTGTATAAGTGGTTTCTATTACCAAAGATGGAATGGATGGGACTTGATTCATGGCCACACAAATCACCGCCTTTTTTGCCCAACTGTAGTTCTTTTTAAGGCAAAGTAGGGTTTTCAGGCACTGTGCAGGAGTACTGATGGCCTGGTTGTAGTTTTTCCTAATTGAAACCAGCTGTTAATGAACAGAAATTAATATCCCACTAAGATCTCTAGTCATGGAGGTAAAAACACCTTGAAATCCAGTAAAATTGAGAAGATCTCAGAGTGTAGTACACAAAATTCAGATCTTATTTTTCACGTCTTCCACGTATTTTTTTAAAGAAAACTTTATAACCCATGCCTGATATGAATAAGGCCTTTTACTTTTTTTATTATAAACATTTTAGCTTAAAGTGATTGTAACTGACAGTTAAGACCAACAGGAACCAGTGGCCTGTTCATGAGCAAATTATCTATATTTCAGGCTAAATCAAAAGTAAACATTCTCTAAGTCCTTTCAGGTCTACATGAGTCCTATGGAAGCCAAACGCAGCAGACAAACCCTGTTCCCCACTCCGTATATTTTGTGGGCTCACCTTAAAATGAATAGTCTTTTCCATGAAGCAATAATATATGCATTTTGAACCATTTCCACATGAGTTCTTGAATACTTATTTAGTCGATTTTCCTCAGTCAACATTTTTATTTCAGTAGGAAAATATTTACAAAATATTTTTTGATTTGTGTTGTTTTATAACCTATCAGATTAGTGTTTTTTAAATAATGGTGAAGGTAGAGGAACTGTGCTGATGAACTTTGCTTACTTTTTTTTTTTTAGATATTTTTTTCATTTATTCTTTGGGAAAGGAAATAGCAGTGAATTCACGTCATTTAGTAAATGCCCAGAAAGTATTACAAAGTATTTTAAATGATAAAGCTGTATTCCTGAATATCCGCATTAGAATATGCTGATAATCAGTTTAAAAGCAACACAAGCAGTAAGGGGGATGTCAGCATTCTGAATCACAAACAAGAGCAGTAAAGCTGCTGTCACCAGCAATGATGTCACTAATCCACGGTCCTGAAAGCCTATTAGAAATTAGTTTTCCGGAGAAATGTCACTGGTTCTAAAAGGTAGTCAGTGTTAAACAAACACAGGCCCCTTTTTGGAACCTATATAATAAACTCAGACACATTAATGTCTCTAGTCAAGGTCTGACCCCAAACTCTTTTGGCTTTAATGGAAGTAAGTAAGGGCCAACTGAGATTAGCTTACACATGTTCGTGTAAAAGTTCAGATGTGCCTGTAAGCAAATAAATATCCTTTCTTAAACTTTTGTTTTTATTAAGTTCCTTAAGACAAAAATGTCTCCCCATGATATATAAGATTGCATTACAGTCTGTATGTTCTTTAACAGTGTTAGTTAATCACAAAATGTGGCTTAAGAGAAGGCATAGAAAGGAAGAGGTCACCTACTTGGCCTGGATGTTTTGGTCCTTGGACAAAGCACTGCCCTTAAAGAGTCAAAAGCCCTGGGTGGTACCCTACCTTTGCCACTAACAAATTTGTGTGACCTAAAACACATCATCTTATCTCTCTAGGTCTCGGTAGCTTCATCTGTAAATGAGAAGAATAACTTCACTATCCCACTGTGAATAACTATAATAAGAATGAGACAAGGTGAAAGATATGAATGTACTTAGCAGATCCTGCCATGTAAATGAGATGACAATATTTCATAAGAGAGCTTCTTTCTTGAGAAGAGTTCAAGGTGTACAGGGATGTCATATCACATGGTTGTATACTTAGCAATATCAGAAATAGTGCACATTCAGGAAATAATAGTTTTCCATGGTTATAAATAAAACTCTACTTTGGTGCAACTAGCAAACTAAAATGATCCCTTTGGAAAAAAAAAATTATGAATTGAGAAAACTAGACAGGATATTAGAAGCTTGCCAGTGAGCACCTCTCAGTTCCTACTTAATTAGTGGCATCTCTTGAGTGCTTCTGGGCAAGGTAATGAGGTAAACATAGATCTTTAATGCCTCTCACCCATCCCAGGTTCTAGCTGAAAGGAATAACAAACAAACAGAAACAAAGGAATACCTGTGTGAGTGCTTAAAACTAGGGAAGGATAGTATCCCATGCCAGAAACATAAAGGCACTTCTGCTCAATATTGTGCAGATTGTACTAGATTAAAGTAGGTCATTGAATGAGATTTGTGGCTTGCCTTCCTAAGAAAAGCTGAGTTCCATGAAGGAAGGTGAGTGGCCAACTTGGAACAGTGCTAAGAGACATAAGGGTTTGTGCAAAGGTTCGAGCATGTGGCTATAGTAGCTCCAGACCTTACATCTTCGGAGATTCAAACCCAGTGGAGGAAAAATTGAGGACTTCTTTCCAAGCATCTCAGCAAAAGTATCTCCCTTTATTGGTATCCATTCCATTAGATCCGATTGTGACCCATACCATCCCTGAACCATGTTGAACAGCCAGAGAAATAAAATGTGCTGCTTACCTTAGACCTGGGCGCCCTTGAGCCAGAGTAAATAGGGAGGAGGCCCCACCTGAAACACATGGGCTATAAGTTCGGGAGAAGTTTGTATGGTTTCTAGGGGGAAAAAAGGGTGAATGAATGCTTGGCAGCCATGTTTACTATAACTGCCTGTCCTTGGTCACCAGATATTTCACATATACCTAAGTTCAGGAAGGAGGTGGTTTTAATAAACCCTTGCTGCTTTACTGTCGATTTAAGGAATTAATTTGCCACTGCTATCGTCTCTTCTTTGGTCATCTATAACACTACCTGCCACAGTTGCGAAGCTGACTTTTTGATGATTTGTATAGACCTAATCCAGCAATTGCTTTCTCTTGGGACTCTGGCCCCTTCAACCTATCCTGCCGTATTTCTTGATGTTGGAACAGTGCCTCCAAAAGCAGTTGAAGGGTCTCTCTACCACAGTGTACCAATATACTACTGGGTTTTTGAGGCCTCATGCTTTCCTGATAGCTGCCTCTCCTGAGAAGATATTCCCTTTGTATATCCAGAATGAAAGCTACAGTGTTTTATTCCCAAGAGCTCTTACAAACTGTCCAGTTTGCCAAGACCTAGGCACAAAACAAAGTGAGGCTACCTAGGCTGCAAAGGATGGGATGGGTGAGTGGCAGCCTCAGTACAGTCTGCAGAGTGCTCGGTTGCCACTGATGCAGGAGCTCGGTCTCCCAGGGTAAGAAAAGGGAAGCATAGTACACTCGAGGGGGAGGGATGCATTTATTCCTTGAGGTTTCTTGTTACCTTATTACACAACTCAGATGGTTTGCTTTTAACAGTCTGCTTGTCTTGTTCAATTTGACCTATAAAAATGCCAACATACTTAAAGTAGATTTCTCTCAAAGAGTTGCATGTTTCTTTGTCAGGTCATACAGCATATTTGACAATAATCGCCAGGATCCTACAGGGCTGACAGCTGCTCTTCAGGCCACAGATCTGGCTGGAGTTCTGCACATGCTCTACTGTGTCCTCTTCCATGGCACCATCTCAGACCCCAGCACTGCCAGTCCCAAGGAGAGTTACAGCCAGAACACAGTACAGGTGGCCATTCAGAGTCTCCGTTTCTTCAACAGCTTTGCAGCCCTTGATCTGCCTTCTTTTCAGGTACCACATCTTGGTTTGTGTTGGTGTTAACCAACCAAGAGTTAATATTTTAGCGTAGATATGATGCGAGGTTATTCCAGGTCGGGGCATAAGGAATAAACTCCAATAAATGGAATTATAATATACATATATACTATTTATTAAGCTACCATCTTTTAGGAACTGTAATATATGCACTACATGTGCTTTCTCATTTATTGTCATAACTACCATGCAGAATGTTGTTATACCCATTTTACAGATGGAGAAGCTGGCAATTAAGTAATTTGCCTAAGGTTACATGTGGCTCAGCCAGGACTAGTACCCGTGACTCTCTGACTCCAAAGCCTATGCTCCTTCTGTGCCACACTGCTACTTATAAATCTTCTGCCTTGAATTCTTTAGATAAAGGCATTATCATCCCATCAACTTTTAAATATTAAGGGAAGTAATGGTTTCTTATATAAACAGAACCAAAATTAGATAAATTGTTTTGATTGATATGACTTTCTATGGATAACTTAACTGATTTGTGTCCAATGTAAAGTACATGTGTAGTTAAATGTGCAACCCCTTATAAATTAAGTTTTTATAGCTAAAGAAAGAAAAATTGTTTTATGCTATAACACCAGACTGTCGGCTTAGAAACAGATTTTTTTTTTTTACATAGGAAATATAATTTTTAAAAACGCTGAACCTTTGGAACAGAGCAAGCCCCAAGGAGTAGACTTTCTCTTTCAGTTTATTAACTGTCAAGTAATTTCATTAAAAAATAACACCAGACTGTCGGCTTAGAAACAGATTTTTTTTTTTTACATAGGAAATATAATTTTTGAAAACGCTGAACCTTTGGAACAGAGCAAGCCCCAAGGAGTAGACTTTCTCTTTCAGTTTATTAACTGTCAAGTAATTTCATTAAAAGAGGAACAAACTTGGCAGATGATAAACCCATAATTTAGATGAATTGCTTTGCTCAGAGGGAAAAAGGTTATAGAGATACAGATGTATGAAAATAGTGGTCTTCGCCATTCTGAGATGGAAGAAACACTTCTGTTTTGTAGCTGATGACAAATGTACAGTTCTTTAATTGATTATCTTCCTGTCATTCTGTTCAAAAAAGGGAATTAGTAAGATGTATCATTGGATCTAGTATCTTTCAACTTTGTAGAGGTACAGAAACCCCTCCTTTGGGGTTGTTTCTACAGCAATTGAACTAGCCTTAGGTGGTAACTACACAATGTGTAGTGTTCCCAGAGTTTACAGCCACACCTAAAATGGGAAATGTCTGCTCCAGAAAATGTCGATAGTTCTTACCTCTGGGTTGAACATAACGTCTGTGTTCTATGAAGACCCAAGTTCATTGTGTTCTGGTCTGGAAACAGCTTGGAATTCAGGAGACCCTGATTTTATGTCCTCAGGATATGGAGTCCAGCAGTGTACCCCTCAGCTAGGTCCAGAGTAATTTCCTTTGTTGCCAGAGATTATGAAAAAGCACATATCTAAAAACTGTCTCTTAGCTTCTAGTTTCATGGGTCTTCTGACCAGGATTTATACTGCTGAAGGGTCCTCCACATCACAAACAAGGATCTAGATTAAAAGTTAGCCATTCCGTCAGTCACTCTGAGTGTCAGGGAGCCCCAGGTCCCTTTCCCCTCTTCCTTCTGTGAGTTCACAGCCTGTGCAGCCTCATTCAAAAAGGACCACCACTGAACTCCAACCAGCCTTGCTTCCTAGTCACCATTAGGCATGATAGCCAATAATGTTAGAAAAATCAAAAGCTTATTTCTGGAACCCTTCATTCCCAACCAAAATAAAAAAACCATGATGTCTCCTCTCTAGATCGTTGCCCTAACGAGCCCAAAATATATCCCCTACTTGAACTACTTCTGCCAGAAACAGCAGGAAAAGTACCAAGGTGGCTCAAGAGCGTTCAGCCATTCTCAGAATCAAATTCCCTGCCTCCCAGGTAGAACGCCCTTTCTTGGCTGGTTCCCGCAGTTCTTCTGTTCCCTTGCTTCCTTCTTCTCTCTCTGTCTTGTGACTTCATGATTTCCATCTTAATTCTTTCTTTCCTGGGTTTGTTTTTTTTTGTCTCTGTTCTTCCTCTCCTGTCTTCTTTTATTTTAGTCAGTCTTGTCATCACTCTTTCTTATTCTCTCCCCAGCCATCTTTCCCAGGTACCCTTCACCCTTAACCAGACCATGGACCAGGAAAGCCTGCAGGGACCTTCCTCTTCCTCCTTTTCCTTTGACATTGACAAGGCCCTGGCTGCCATCCTTTTGGTGCCTAAGATTCAGCACATGCTTCTCTCTCACTCCTCATCAGTATGTCAGAGGACCCAAATGCCCTGAATTTCTAGCATCAAGGACTTTAACACATTTACCAGTGACTACCTTATTGTTCCCAGTTACTTTTATGCATTTAAAAACAAACAAACAAACTTAGTGGGGTAAACAACCATTTTATTGTGATCACAGGTTCTATGAGTCCGGAATTCAGACAGGGCTCATGACAGTGGGGATGGCTTGTGTCTGCTTCATGATTTCAGGGCTTCAGCTGAGAGGATCAAATAGCTGGAGGGGGGAAGAGGAGAAGACAGGGTTGACTCAAATAGCTGGAAGCTGAAATTATCTGGAGTCTCCTGTACTCTCATGTTTGATGCTGGGGATGATTCAAAAACTAAGTTCATCAAGATTACTGGCCAAAGCATCTACATACTGCTTCTCTGTGTGACTTGGGCTTCTCAAACATCATGGTGTCTGGGTTCTTAAAAGGAAGCTTTTGGAAAGCAAATGTTCTGAGAACAGAAGCTGCATGGCTTTTTATGCGCTAGCCTCAGAAGTCATATAGTTACGTATCAACCGTACTTTATTGGTTGAATACTAATTCATAAGCCTTCCAGATTCAATGGAAGGGCGGCACGGGCTCCACCTTCAATGGGAGAATTGTATTTGTGGTCATTTTTTTTTTAACTGCCATGCTCTATTTAGCAAGCTGGAGTAACACATCTGTCCACACAGACCCCATTGATGTAGATGGACTTCATCAAGTATGTAATGCTCAATCAAATACACAGTATTTGCACTGTAGAGCAATGGGTGAGTTTTGGGGAAAATTACTGTTTTTAGGATAGATATGGTCAGAGAAACTCATGTTCTAGTTCACCAAAACAACTTAGATGTCAAAAGTGAGATTTCAGGAACTATGTAAATGACAAGAAAAGAGATTTTAGGTGGAAAGAAGGAAGATGTACATCAGCATGGGTCTGAAAAAATCTGAGAGGCAATTTATAAATTGCATGGGAGGCACAAAGGAACTGAAGAAGAAAACTGCAATGAGATAAATGTCCTGAACTGCTGCAGAGTTAGACAAGACAATATAAGACGTGGTGATAGTTTGGGTCCCAGTACATCACAAGAGTGCAAGGCTGTTACAAGGAGGCATCCCCATCAGATCCCTGGATCCGAAGTCACACTCACCTGACTTTGAGCCCATGAAACCTACCACTTCAAATTGTGTGATCTTGGACAAGTCATTTGAACCCTTACGACTCAGTTTCTTCCTCTGTAAAATGAAGATTAAAAATGCCTAATTCACAAGATTGTTTGAGGATTAAATAAGATTACATAAAGGTTCTATGCTAGCCAGCACACAGTAGGCACTCAGGAAATGTGAACTAACTCAGCCTCTTAAGATGAAGAATTTACCCAAACCATCTTGCAGATGTTGAGTCAGAAAGATGGGAGCTGAATGCAGCATTCCCAATGCTCATCCACCCCCCTTCAAAGCCACAAACCTGTGTGCTTGTTTTGTGTGAGAAACCATCATGTAGTAGTACCAAAAGGTTATACATTAGAATATTTTCTTAGCTGGTTCCATTTCATTGTATACTAATAAGGCTGTCAAAATATTTTTATCCTTTCAGTAAAGAGTCTGATTTCACTCTGAATTCATATTGGCACAGATGGCCTTGAGATCAGGGATATTGTATATTGCATACACTTTGACAGGTTTTACAATTGAAGGTGGTCTCAGGAAACAAATCAATGTACTGACTTGGCAATTAATACTGGCTAAAAAGGAAATATAGTTTCCTTGAAAAATTGGTTTAATTTTTATATTCAAACTTACATGACCCTTGACCTGCTCTTATCAGTGAAGGTTAAACAGAGGGCACTGGGTCATAGCATTCTGGACGTGACTAATTAAATAAGGGCTGAGCTGAGAAGGTGTCACAACTTGATTTAAAGGAGCAAAGCTCTCCCGAAGTCTCTTTGGGGCCTGAAAAACATTTTTTTTTTTTCTGGGCTGAAGTGAAACTCAGACAGAAGGCACTCTTAAAATTTAGCAGTAATTTTGTTTCAGCAATAAAAGGGCTCTCTGTTTCACCCACTGTTAGGTAAAGTGATTTCATTGAAACTTCCATGCTGCAACATATCTGACCTGGTTCAAGCCCGCCAAGACCTCAAATCAAGAGATGAGTTTAAAACGCTGGCTTTTCCCACAGGCCAGCAGTGGTGCTTCATTCCAGTGTGGGCTGCGAGTGTGTTCTGTGGGCTTCGCCTCTCCCCTTTGCCCTCCTGTCGCTCTGTCTGTTTGACATGTTTATTAAATAGAAGCTTCAAGCTGCACAGACAGACTCAGACTCTCCTTCCAACTCGCCCACCGCTGACAGCCCTTTGCTGTCTGGAGAAAAGATCCCAGAAGCCTAATAGCTGAGGGGCTTCATGATTTTGGGGGGATTTTTTGTTTTGTTTTGTTACATTCTTTGGGAGCCTTTGGTTTATAGAGCTGTTTTTTTGAATAATAACTAGTTATTTATATTTCTTATCTGTTTGAACATAAGTAATTGAAAATATGCGTTTCTCTCTTTACAAGAAAATATTTTCTCCTTCAGGAAAAAAATGTGTTACAAGTTAGCTAAGTGGTAGATTTATAGGTAAATTTTAATATTTTTATACTTTTCCAAATTTTCTACAGTGAAAATATTTGTATAATGAGAAAAATTAAGTTATTAAAAATGGGATAAATAACCATGGTTTAGGTAGATAATGTCTTGAACCACATGGTACAAACATTTGTCTGCTGTGCTCTATTTTCTGTCCCTTTTCAGGTTAAACATAACATTCATTTTGGTCATTTATTACAGCATGAACCCCTGAACTGAACTGTTAAGCATAGTACTGTAGAAATGTCATATGCTTTTCCAGCTCTGTGGCAGAAAGTACACAGGTCCCAGTCTTGTTTTGTGATTTGCAGCCCTGCCTCTCCTTGGGTTGGGGAGTTCTAACTGCTCCTTGTCTTTGTCAGTCTATTGTAGGGGCAGAGGGCTTGTCCCTTGCATTCCGGCACATGGCCAGCTCCCTGCTGGGCCACTGCAGCCAGGTCTCCTGTGAAAGCCTCCTTCATGAGGTCATTGTCTGTGTGGGCTACTTCACTGTCAACCACCCAGATAACCAGGTAAGAGGCTCCAGAAAGTTCCTTAGACTGCTCCCCCAGTGATGAGAGTGTGAGGTATTGGAGTGAGAAAAGGCAGGCTAGCCTGCTGGAACCCATCTGTCCTGTGTGAAGCCCTTTAACCAGGCTCCAGGGATATGTCTCTGGCTGCTTCTCTCCAAAGAGATTTGATCAGCACGAGATTAGCAGTAAGGCGTCCTGTTAGAGCTATAAAAAATATTTTTAATAAAATATTCTTAAGCTACACAGAAGCATCTACTCCCTTACCATGGAGACTCTTTAGTATCTACTCCTTTGCCACATAGATTCTGATGCTCTGGCCATCAGTTTTTTTGTTTTGATAGGGTAGCTTGCATCTTTCAACTTGGGTCACTTTGCAAATTGTATTAGAGTCTGGTGCTTTACGAAACTATTCTTGGCTCTAGGCTTCTACCTCGGTGCTTAGAGGCTTCCAGATGGTGCTAGATGGCAGAGGGCAGGACTTAGACTCTCCTCCTTGAGTCACCCAGAGTAGTTTTGCTTTTAACTTCTTGATGATTTGGTTTATGAGCAAGATTTCATTCGTAATAGAATTTTTCTGACTTAAGAAGTTGGAAAATTTGTTATAGCTTTTGTAAAAATAATAATAATGTACCTTACTTCTGTTTATTTTTGAAACCAGAGTTATAGCTTAACTAACATACCAAATAGTAATTCCTGACAACCTCATTTATCTAAACCCCCTACTAGCAACCTAAATTGTATAGACTGTAGCTAAGGAAATTGCCTCTGAACAACCCCTTAACCCACACTCTAAGCTTACTTGTTTTTATTTTAGGCAAACCTGTAACAAGTGTACTTACCTGGTTTATCCACCTGCAGCAAACTAGACTAGGGCAGGAAGAGACCAGATGGTTATAGTGCCAGAGCCAAGTATAGGGCAAAAAGCTATACACTGAGAGCTGAAATTTTCTGTCTGACAAGGAGAAAGAGGACAGAAAAAAAAAGACAGGCCCAAGAACTCAGAAATCACAGCCATCGGCGTTCAAAAGGACACTAGGCCCTATATTTTATTTCCCAGATGATTGTTGATGCCTCTACTGCTGACCCTGAGTGAGCACAGAGGCAAAATGTACATATGTTCAGTACATTCTCTATGAGAAAGTTGAGGAATATTCAGTCCATATGAGAAAATATAGAAAATCTGGACTCTTACCAGAATTAAGTGTTATACCTCATACCCGGTTGCCAGGAGGGTGGAAGGCAGCTCTTTCTCATCTCCCACCACAGGAGCTCAGGCAGTTTGCTTCCCTTGCAGACACCTTCAGGTGGGTGTGCTTTGTTCTTTCTGTGGACCAGGCCCCGCAAGTCCATGACTCTCTTACAAGCTGCTTAGGGAAGGAAAATTGAGGGAAGTCTCTCATGGGGATTTCTATTCCTCATGTACATCCATTCAGCCTACTGAATTGCCTTTTTTCCTTTTCTTTAAAAGTTTTTTTTAATTTTTCTGATTACAAAAGTGCTCCTTGTTTATTATGAAAATGATAAGGCGAGTGTAAAGAATAAAATGGAACTGCAGTTATTCCTTATCTCAGCATCTCTTTAAAAGTTTTTTTTAATTTTTCTGATTACAAAAGTGCTCCTTGTTTATTATGAAAATGACAAGGCGAGTGTAAAGAATAAAATGGAACTGCAGTTATTCCTTATCTCAGCATCGGAAATAGCTACTGTTAATATTTTGGCAGGTTCCATTCTAGTCTCTTTTCTATGAATCATTTTACATAGCTGAGGTCATACTGTACATATGCTCATGTCCTGCTTTGTTTTTAGTGGCTACATGGCTTTATCTTACGTGGATATTCATGGTTTACCTAACGATTTTCTGTTTTATACTTAAATTGTTTACTATACAACAGTACTTCCAAGAGTTCATGGAAAAATTTGTATTATCTTTTAATTCGATTTTTCCACGAACTTTTTGAAATACCTTTGTATATCATGACACTATCTACTACACTTGTAAAGGGGTGAGTGATTTTGGTGTGTGATAATATTTTGCTGTGTGCAGTTCTACAGCAAAAAATTCAGTTCTTTCAGTGCATCCCATATTAGGGATGTTTTGAAACTTTTTGCTTAAATTACCTCTGTTGTGATAAATTTACTGAACTCAGAATTGTGTGGGATTTCAGAGAGTTTTTCTGCTGATGCTGAATCACAGACTAATCCTCTCCTTTAGATAAAACACACACTTTCAGAATCTCTGGACTCACCAGAGTGAATGGGGATTGTACTCAGGGGACTTGTATTTGGAGATGGCATGTTAGACCTGACTTGGACCTGGTGGGAAAGTGATAACTCGGCATGTTGGGATGAGAAAAAAGAAGATGAAATGGGTGGGAGAGAGCATTAGGTAATACGAGGAAGAGGAGGAAACCAAGACCCCATATTGGTTGTCATTCGAAGAAGAGGATGTAATGGAATTTGGAGATCATTGTTGAGAGGTGAGCTCACTCAGAAAAGAAATTAGAAAAGTGAAAAAAGCCAGACTTTGTGTTTCAACACCTTGCCTCCCAGTAGGATTGAATGATAAACTGGACATCCACTTCTGACTTGGGGCAAGATCAGAGAAGTCAGTTCAGCCCTGTGGCAATTGCCAAAATGCAACAATCCATGAGAAGAAAAGACATGATAAAAAGTAGAGAGGAAATAAGAAAATGATAGAAAACATAGTAACTGTAAAAAGCTGAGATGCTGCACCTTGTGGAGATGCTATTTCTAAGCATACACCCTTTTATTTGTAGAGTTCTTTATACTATTTTCCCCATCTATTGTCTCTTGAACCTCATTAGGACATCAGTGAGACTAAGTAAAGCAATGATTCCTGCCTTACAGACAGGTGAGGAATAAGGGTTCCAAGAGGTGAAATTAGGCCCCTGAAATGACAGAGAAGCACTAGAAGACTAGGACCAGAATCCAGGTCTTGCAAAGCCCAACTCAATGTACTTTCTTGTTTCATCTCACATTGCTTAAGAAGACTGGATTTGTCATGGGCTCCGTCCACCACTGATCACTGAAGTGTATCTTGGATAAGGGGCGGGAGGTGTAGAAGATGATGCCCACTCGCCGAGACAGTACATTGAGAAGCTATCCTCTGCCCCCTGGATGATGACTTGGAAGCTTCTGGGACATATCTGTGTGCTTTATTCAGAGAAACTCATAAAGACCCTGGGTAGGTGTAAATGAATATATTTTATGGGCACAAATGGATCACAGTTTAGCAAATAGAAGACCTGGATTCTAGCCCCAGCTCTGCCACAAGCTGTGTGATCTTAGTTAAATCGTTTCCCTCCTTGAGGCTTGAGCATCTTTGACTATACAAAGAAGTGGATTGATTCTGGAAATGGATAGTGGCTATAGTTGTACAATATTGTTAGTGTATTAATGCCACTGAGTTTTAGGTTTTAAAATGGTTAAAATGGTAAAATACATATTATGTATATTTTACACAATAAAATAAACAAAAGAAGAAGAATAGGATTGTACTACATGATCTCCCCTGTTAGCTCTGCGAGTCTGTGACATTTTAAAGGCTGAGACTGGAACCACAGACAGTCTAGCATTCTGATCTCATGGGAACTCCAAGCCATTTTGTGGTTTTCCAGATGCTCCTTACCTTACTCCAAATTCTGTCAGCACCAGACAGCTTAATGACCTGCCTTCCCACTATGTGCCATCTTATCATTAAAAGCTGAATATACTTTGGCTCCCCCAATATTAATAGAGGGAGTCCGTTAACAGACACTCCTAAGCAGAGACCTCACAGGTGAGATGTTAGGTATCTTGCTCTGTGATGCCATCTCCAGCCATAGTAGTTTCACCAGCACCAGAAGGCTGTGCCCACTGGCTCCTGGCTGGGCTCCATGCCAGTCAGGCTGCATGGCAAGGGCAGGGTATAGGAAATAGCCACAAGTTTGCTGAGATGATAACTGCTCCTATCCCAGTAGAGTTGGGAAGTTTTCTGTAGCTAAAAAGCTGATTGTTTTCCCTTAAAAAACTTGTTTTATTAAATTCCCTTTCTACTCCCCACCTGAAAACCCAGGACAGTTAGCCCTCCATATCTATAGGTTCTGCATCCATGGATTCAACCAACTGTGGATCTGAAATTTTCCCCCAAAAATTGCATCTGTACTGAACATGTACAGACTTTTCATCTTGTCTGAAAACCCAGGACAGTTAGCCCTCCATATCTATAGGTTCTGCATCCATGGATTCAACCAACCGTGGATCTGAAATTTTCCCCCCAAAAATTGCATCTGTACTGAACATGTACAGACTTTTCATCTTGTCATTATTCCCTAAACAATACAGTATAGTAACTATTCCCATGGCATTTACATTGTGTTAGGTATTATGAATAATCTAGAGATGATTTAAAGTATATGGGAGGTTATATGCAAATACTATGCAATTTTATATCAGGGACTTGAGTACCCGTGGATTTTGGTATCCACCGGAGGACCTGGAACCAATCCCCCATGGACACCAAGGGACAACTGTAATTTGCTAAGTGAGCGTTTACTGAGGGGATATGGTAAGTGCAGTTTTAAGCTCTCACCCCAGCTTCATCACAGATTCATGAAGCCTCCATCCTGGAAGGGCTCTGAGATATCTAGTCCAGTTCCCTCATATCATACATGGAGAAATTGAGCCTCGGAGAAGGAGAAGGAATTGCCAAGCGAGAACTGGTAGAGCCCAGCCTCACCATTGGCAATCTAGTGGGTGCCCCCTTTCCACCTCACTTCTGTTCTTATGAAAGTGAATTTAGTTAGCCTGATACCACTTTCTCTAAATCAGAGGAATTTCACAGGAGAAATTATGATGCTCAATTCATTTAATGTTTCTGTATCATTAGTCAGAAGTCACGTTAATTTACAGTGCCTGTTTGTCTGTAGGTGATCCTTGATTTCCTACTGGGAAAACAGCTTATGTCTTTATAGACAGGGGATCATGAAATCCTGGTGCAG